CCCCAAAACCCCAAAACCCCAAAACCCCAAAAGACTAATTTTTTAAAAAGTAAGGAATAAGTTGTTTTGTTTAAAGCTAAATAAATAAACAAATTTATATAAAATCACAATGAGTCTCAAAATTTAATACACTAGAAAAATTTTCATTTTCATCCATATTATACTCCTCTAGACAATATTTGTGACTCTAAATTAAAATTTCATAAACAAAAAATTGAATAATGACATAGCTGAGAAATTAATGTTGTAACCAACAAGTAATCCAACTATTTTATCGAAAAACGATGAAACTATTATATTGCCACTGTTTTCTGAGAAAATTAAACCAGATTAGAATAATAAGCAGTCTAATGGTGATCCAATATTCAGAAGATTCAACAACCATCGTAATTATTCCCTCCTCTACTTTTTGATTCTTAACTAGATTTATAGATAATATCGCTTAATAATCAAATTTGTAAGCAAATAAACAACTTGATTATGACGGAATGTTTTATACATACTTCTACGTTGGGAAAAATTCGGAACCGATTAAAATGATTATATCCTTGAGCTCATCTGTAAATTATTTTTAGTAATCTTAAATGCTTTTAGTGGATGATTCTTCCTAATGAAACTTCTAAGTAACCAGGTATGAATGTTTTTCACTCATCTAAGTCATCTTCTTATAAAGAATTGCAAACGTCATAAACATTTGATGATCTCATTGTAATTTACAATAATCTAAATATACTTTTAGTTATCCAAATACATCATAAATAAAGACAAAGCATTCGTTACAGGCTGTGTAGCTTAAGATAGAGTACAGCTTTAGTATGGTGATGCCTCTCTTATTGTTGAAAAATTCAAATTTTTTTCCTTTAATCAAGCCACCTCATATGTAATATCTTTATCTTTCTGATAATTATCATCTAGAATAAGAATTATGGGATTGTCGGACTAGGAAGAGAATTTGTTTCCCCTTCTTAAAATAGTGGTCCTCTTCTTCTTTAAACCTTAAGATAAAGTGGAAATCTTAAGCAAGGTGTTTTCTCAATCATGATTGGTAGCAACACTGAATAGTCTACTTTGGAAATTGGAGGGTACAGCTAGCTAATAACTAGTCCTCCTTAAATATCAGCAAATTCAGGAGTCGCTAAATCTATCAGTAATAATACTAGCTAATAATAGTATGAAATAATTAAATGGTTTTCAAATCTTTACTACGCCTAAGAATGGCAAGTAGAGATGAACGCTTACTTAATAAATGCATCTCTTCTATTACTAAATGGAACATAACCAGGGAGAAATCACACAGCAAAGGCTGTCATTAGCTCTACTATATAATATCTTTAATTCCCTGATTCAATTAAAGAAGATATTCTAAAAAAACTAACAATAGATAAACAAGGAGGCACCTAATAAATATACAATGCAGAGGACGGAGAATTTCTTACTTACTCAACATGCAATATTTCTGCCTACCCTAGTATCAATCTCAGACTCGATGACACCTGGTTTGAGATTAAGCCTAAGACATTCATTTTGGAGAAACCTGCTACTATATAGGGTGATTATTGTCCGATCGGTATCAGTTCATCGGGATCAAATGACATAATACTTGGGCTAGTATTTATGCGAAATTACTACATGATATTTGACTTTGATAATGATAAAATTGGTGTTGCTCAAAGCAAATTTACTCAGTCAGCATTTAAGAAGGGTTAACTACCATTCAAAGTTAACTTTACAGAGATCAATAACAACCAGCCAGCATAAACAGTGGTTCCAAACTAGCCAATTGCACCAAAACAGTGGTTTAGCTGGAGTAATTAAACCATCATTATTATTGAAGTTGTAATTATTATCATTCTTCTATTGGGTGTAGGAGGTAATCATATCAATAAAAACTAATTCTAATATAGGCTTTTTAGCATGGTACTATCTGATCAAGCAAAAGGCAACTAACCTTGGAAATCGGACATCTTAACCTGACAACAAACTATATTTTGTCCTAGATAAGAGGTTGATTTAGAAAGCTTATATGGATGGTTAAAACTCAAATATGAATTCAATAGTTATACATACACTCTAGATATGAAACTATACCATTTCAAATCATTATTGTTAATATTGAAAGTTGCACTGTTATTGCAGCGCTTGTAATTAGTAATCAAAGACTTATAGAAAAATACAATTTTCTTCATTAATTTTCTTTATCTCTTTTCTCTTGAAAATGCTTCAGCATGGGGTTTTGGGGTTTTGGGGTTTTGGGGTTTTGGGG